CCTGCCCTGCCCTGCCCTGCCCTGCCCTGCCCTGCTCTGCCCTTCTCTGCCCTGCCCTGCCCTGCTCTGCTCTGCCCTGCCCTGCCCTGCCCTGCTCTGCCCTGCCCTGCTCTGCTCTGTTCTGCCCTGTTCTGCTGGAGGGGGTGGCACTGAGGCCACAGGGGTGCTCCCAGGCCACAGAGATGCTCTCAGCAAGCTCCCAGCTTCCGAGAGGGCAATTCCCGAGAGGGAATGCAGCAGGGACACAGGTGCCTGGATTAGGTCTGCCTGAGGTGTGGCCTTTAACTCTCCCCTTACTTCAGGGGGTTTGTCGCGGGGGCTCCGCGGGGCTCACCGTGGCAGGGCGAGCTGCTTCTGAGGAGTCAGTGAGCCTGTTTGTCTCTGCCTGGCAGCTATCGATTTTCTGGAGAAAATACTGACATTTAACCCCATGGATCGATTAACGGCCGAGATGGGGCTGCAGCACCCCTACATGAGCCCCTACTCCTGCCCCGAGGACGAGCCGGTGTCTCAGCACCCGTTCCGCATCGAGGACGAGATCGATGACATCCTGCTGATGGAAGCCAACCAGAGCCAGATGTCCAACTGGGACAGGTACAGTGCCAGGGCTGGGCTGGGGAGCAGATTCTGCCTTGAACGCTTCAGGCAGAGCTGGGCTGGTAAGTCTCTGACACCCTCTTGCCCGGGTTCCACCACACGTGTTCCAGACCCATGAAAAATGCCTGCTTTTCCTTCTTCATGCCACACTGTAGTTCCAGCCCAAGGGATGGGCTGGGAGCCACCCAGAGGCTCCTCTTGGATTCCACGGGGACCAGCAGCTAAGCCTGCACATCCCTGTCATACCTTTCTGCTCCCGGTTTTATTCGCAGCCTAGGTCATCATTTCATTTGGGTTTAAGCGGCGCTGCAGCCCTTCCCCCTGCCCTCTGTCCCTATAACGCAGGTTACAAAATAATGTAATTCTTGTGCCTGATTTGCAGTGCTAAATTCATCACTTTCCAAGGGGTGTAAGTCCCAGAGGCCACAGATCTGGGGGCCTTGTAAAAAACCCTGAATTGTGTTGGTGTTTAAATGGTTTGCTGAAAGACGTACTGGAAGTTTAGAAGAGCTCAAAGCCTTGAGCTGAGTTCGCTCACATTCGGGGTGATTACCCCTGGAACAGGTGGGACAAAACAAGCAGCTGAGAGTTGATGAGGTTCAGTTTTCTGTAGAGCTCCTTGCAGCTGTGGGGGGTGAGCTGGCTGAGGATGTCTGCATCCACACAGCAGCTAAATCTCCTCACCTTCCCGACCCCCTAGGTTCCACCAGGACTGAAAAAACCACCTAGAGAAACCCCTTGCCCCCACCGCCATGAGTCCCTTTGCCTGAGCAAGCAAGCAGGGGGAGGCTGGAAGGGCTCAGCCAGGTGGGGAGGAAGGCTGGGAGCAGGATATCTGTCTTCAGTGCATCCCTGCATAGCCCCAGAGCAGCAACTGGGCTGCTGGAGGCCACCTTGTCACCTTTCCCCAGCCAGCTTTCTGTGTGTGACACGAGGAGCTGAGAGATGTGCTGGGGACACCTGACACAGGGCTGCAGACTCTGCAGCACCAGCAGCTGTTTGGGGGACAGGAGAGGATTCTGGCTGTGTGCTGTGGGACACCTGAAGAGCAGATTTTTGGCTGTGGCAGAGCCCCAGTGCCTGGGGTAACGTGTTTTAAAGGCAGCTCAGTTAGGAGCCAGCAAATCGGGTGTCCCTGGGAGAACAGTGTCTAGGAACTGGAGGGCTTCAGCTGGCTGGAGAAACCATCACCAGGTGACCCTTCAGGAGTGCTCTTGGTCCCTGACATCAGGACAGGCTGGTGATGCCCATCTCAGTGGGGTTTGAGACATGTCCTTCACTGTCCTGTCACCAAGCAGGAAGGACTCACACCATGGCAGCTGTCTGTGGGCTGAGGGGCGGATTGGTTATTAATGGTGTTGATCTCCTTTAGGTCCCGAGCGAAGGGGTGGTGGTGGGCATCTGAAGGAAGGGGCCTCTTGCTTTGGTTGTTGGGCTTTTATTTCTGCATCTCAGGCTCTTGATAAGCCATCCACCCCCTGCCATTTTAACAGACAGGAAGGGTGTCTCTGCTACCAGTAAGACAAGAAATAAATCAGCGAGCAAGAGGCGAAGCTGGCAGCAGGGCAGGGGTTGGTTTGGGCTGCCAGCAAGGCCGTGCTCGGTGTCTGACAGCAGCGTGTTTCTGGCAGGTACCACATCAGCCTCTCCTCCGACCTGGACTGGAGGCACGACAAGCAGCACGACATGGACGAGGTCCAGCGCGACCCCCGCGCCGGCTCCGAGCCCACCGCGGAGGAAGCGCAGGTCGACCCGCGGAAATACTCGCAGAGCAGCTCGGAGAGGTTCCTGGAGCTGTCCCACTCCTCCATGGACCGAGTCTTTGATGCCGACTGTGGGAAGTCGTGTGATTACAAAGTGGGATCACCCTCCTACTTGGACAAGTTGCTGTGGAGGGACAGCAAGCCCCACCACTACTCAGAGCCCAAGCTAATCTTGGATTTATCCCACTGGAAAAGGGCCACCATCGCCCCTCCCGCTGAGCTGTCGCTGGAGGAGGAGCCGTCCAACCTCTTTCTGGAGATTGCCCAGTGGGTGAAGAGCACGCAGGTGGGGCTGGAGTGCCCCGGCTCTCTCCCGGAGATGCAGGAGCGCAGCCTGCCCTCCTCTCCTCACCGCCTCCACCAGGAGCCCGCCCAGGTGAGCAGCGAGACCGACCCTGAGTTTGACTTGGACGTCTTCATCTCCAGGGCGCTGAAACTTTGCACAAAACCCGAGGATCTTCCAGACAACAAGCTCAACGAGATCAACGGGGCCTGCATCTCCGAGCACCCCGGGGACATGGTGCAGGCGGAGGCGTTCCAGAAGGAGCGGTGGTGAGGAACCCGCAGCCCCGCCGCTCCTCCCTCTTCCTCTGGGGTGGTGCGGCCGCTGCCCGGGGCCGAGCGGCTTCCCGGTGCCACTGAGCATCCCCTTCTCACGCTGTACCAAATGCCTTTCTCGGGAAAGGCCAGCACAAACCGCACGCCCCTTTTGATGCCTTAGAAGTGCTTCTAAGGGGATCGAGAGGTGCGAGTGGAATACCGAGTTTCTTACACTGCCTTAACAACCTTGCCTTGCGATCTCTGGGACCTGTTTGAAACTTAAAATGTACGAGGGGAAAAATGACTGTACATGGTAGGTTTGCAAACAGCAGTCGAATCGGCTTCCTTTCCTTTTCTATAGCAACTTGAAATGACAAGGACAAAATTAGCATTTTCAGTACGGTCAGACACCCTCCTGGTTGGACAGGTTCCCAAAACGCCGAGTTTTGAGCCCCTCTGAGGCGCCTGTGTGAGCACAGGTGTGGAACGAAGTGATGCCAGCCATCAGCCAGCAGAGAACGGAACCAGAGGCAGAGTTCGGCCATCAGACAGAACAATAACCCTCTGAGAATGTTAATGGGGAAGAAATTTGACATTGAAACAGTTTGCCGTTGGGGATTTGTTTTATTTTTTTCTGAAGAGAAGACAAAATTTTTGCTAAGTGCATTTTTGCTGGTTCGTGGTTTCTCACGCCAAAATCTTCCCTTCTGTTGCACAGGGTGCAGCAGGGGATGCACGGGGATCTGAGCTTTCCGAGCACTTAGGAGGGCCCACGCGATGCGTGTCAGTGTGACAGCCTGGTGCTGCGAGTCCTGCCCCGGACAGGCGAGGAGGAGGACGGGCGCTGAGAGCGGGGCGCGGTGTGTCCCGCGCCGCGACGCTGCCCGGCACCGCCCGCCACACGGACTCAGCCAGGGCACCCGCTGCTGGAAAATGGAACCAAACTGCTCCTGGTTTTCCTCCTGACAAAGATCTCGTGGAGAGAACCACAGTTCCCGCGGCATTGGGTTCGAAACTGGCCGCTTTGCTCCCAGCTCCCGCGGAGGACGCTGGTGTCAGCGGGAAACTGCGTGTAAATAGACGAAGACACAACTGATCTACTGTAACTTCTGTTTCCAGCCACACTTCTGAGCACCTTAATAATCAATCGGCTAACGAGAGTTTGTACATGGAAGAAATGTTCTATACTTATATTCAATGCAACTCGGCAGCTTTTTAACGGGAGGTCTGTAAATAGTGCCATACGAGACAGTCTCTGCTTTCCTCGCCATCCTGCCGCGCGCCGTCCGGCACAGCGGCGCCGCTTGCATTTGTAAAAGAGGAACTGCTGTATTTAGTGCTGCAAGGCCCACATTCGACTACTGCCATATGAATTATTTCCAGCCTTTTAACAAGCTAAATGCTCTGAGATGTGAAGAGGACTCGCGTGAGGCTCGCATAACCAACAGCGGAGTTTGCTGTGCTAGCCCTGGGTTCTGTTCGTGCTGGGACCTGGGAGCAGGCCTCGACAAGCCCAAACATGTGTTCTTACTGTGAAGATCTCACACCAGGGTGATGGAAACGCCACTGCTCCAGCTGAAGAGCGGCGCTGGCGTGAGGCTGCGTGGGTGGGACAGGGTGCAGGTCCAGGTGCAGGGGTGGAGAAGGCGTTTGGAAGGCAAAGCTGACGGAGACAGCCTCGGAAGGGCAAAGCCATTTGTCTCCAGTCCTTGCTTTGAGTGTTTGGACGTCCCCCAGAGAGGTTTAGAAAGGGGAAATGAGATGGAAGCGGAGGTTTGGTTCCTGGCGTGTTGCAGATGATTGATATACCTCAGCGAAAGCTCAGCACTTTGACTGGTGGCGGGGAAGGAGCCGGCCCTGCGCCTCCTGGAGCAGATCCAGCCGGCCCACGGCTCGCTGTCCCGCTTGGCCTTGCCTGGCAGAGGCTGGAGAGGGACTGCAGGGCTTGGGACAGGCCATGCCAGGGGAGGAGAAGGTGCAGGAGCCTCAGCTGTGTCCCAGGGGCTGTCCCAGAACCCAGCAGTGCTCTCCGGAGGGAGAGGCAGCGGCGTCGCAGGCAGCTCGTGGTCAGGCGCTGGGGAGCCAGCAGAGCTCAGACCCGCGGGATGAGAGTAGCACGGTGACAGAGGACTCTGAAACTCTCCTGATGGAACAGCCCTGGAACTCTGAACCTCTCCTGATGGACAGAACAGCCCTGGAACTCTGAACCTCTCCTGATGGACAGAACAGCCCTGGAACTCTGAACCTCTCCTGATGGAACAGCCCTGGAACTCTGAACCTCTCCTGATGGACAGAACAGCCCTGGAACTCTGAACCTCTCCTGATGGACAGAACAGCCCTGGAACTCTGAACCTCTCCTGACAGAACAGTCCTGGGCCACCGTGGGGTGAACAGGAGAGCCCGGGCTGCTCAAGCCGCCCCAGCGCTCTCCTCACCAGGCACCGGTGGCCACGTCCCTGACACCAGAAGCCATTTCCCATGGGCTGTTACTTCTCCACAGGCCAGCAGGACTATTTATTATGGCCATGAAAGAAACAGTTTTGCTTTTGAGTGTTGTCTGGGGGGCCCCCGATCAAAGTGTGGAATTGACTCTGTAACACACTGACAGAGCGCGTTGCTGCCACTCCGGATTTCTCATCTCGCTTCGTGAGCTTTTATTTAATGTTGTTCTAAAACCTCAGCATCACGTGCTGGGAAAAGGGGATAAGAGGGATGGCTTTAATTTGTTACCTGAGTGTGCTTAGCTGATCACAAGCCAGATCTGTCTCTCATTTGCAGAAATAAAGTGTAAGGCCTGAGCCTTCCATGCCTAGCAGTGTGTAATTATTTTATAAATGGTTATTATTTTTATTGTGAAGTCTTTACTCCAGTAGTGGTTTCTTCTGCAAATCATAGAATTCATTCAGGTTGGAAAAGACCTTTTAGAGTGAACATGAAGACCTGCACCACAGGAATATTTGCCTTCTAGGGTTACTCGGTGCTGGGCCGCTTTTCACCCAGCCTTGTTGTGGCGGGTTCAGGCTGCCTGAGCACTCAGGGTCGTGGGGAGCGAATTTAGGCTTTGTCTTCACCTGCACTTTGTGGGGTTTGAGGAATCATTTCAGTGCAGGGACACCCACGGGGTGCTGAGGTGAATTTGCAGAGGGCACAGACACGGGAGCCCTGCTGTTGCTGAGGATGCTGTGTGGTGGGCCCCGAGGGACGGGGGCACACCCTGGATTTGGAGATGTGGGCCCCAGCTTTTTATCCAAAAACAGCAACAGAGGGAGCAGGAAAATCCCTCCCCAAAACTGCAGGAGCTGCTCCTGGAGGCTCCTTGCAAGGACCTGCCCTTCCACACTGGCCACGAGCTGGAGCCTGGGAGCCCATCAGGAAGGTGATTTAAAAACTCCTTTAAAAGTCAAAATGATGCCTCCAGCAGTTCTGTTGCTTCCCCAGTGATTGTTTTTCCTCAGCCACCAATAAGTGGCTTTTTTTACTGCAGTTTATTTTTAATCACACTGGGGCTCAGCAGCTGTTACACCATCACAGAGCTGCGCTAGCCAGATCTTCAGAGCTCTACAGCAACAAAAACACTTTTAAAAGGGGCTTTGGGGACATCCTGGGAGGCTTTTCCTGTGCAAATCCCACCCAGATCCCAGAGTAAAACCAGAAGGCAGTGAGTTTTACAAGTGGACTGCAGATGATCCATCCTGTCCCTGTCAGCAATTTCATGCCACCATCTACGGTTCCTGAGAGCTTGCAGTGAGAACGCTGTACAGTGTGGCAGGCAGACATTTCAGCCCTGAAATGTTCTTTCTTTTTCAGCTGGTTCTGAGAGGAACTGAGGAGAACAAATGCACCATATGGTGTTTGCTTGTGAATTGTTGCCTTTGACATTTTGAAAGGCAGGGTTTGATTCTGAAGCAGCACAATATTCGGGTGAATGCAGCTCTCTCAAAGTGCATCTTCACTTTCCAAAGCTGCGCTCACCCCGGTGTTTTACACAGCCATCTGGGCGCTGGGGAAAATGGTTCATAACAATCATATTGCTAAGTTCAGAGTAGGTTTTTATTTATTAAAATTAAAAGATTCCGTCCTAAAAAAGAAAAATAAAAAAAATTGCAACCTTTTCACCCAGGATCTTACTCTGCCTGGTCTTGGGCTGTGATGGAATAAAGTGTAGCAGAAGGATCTCTGGATGGTTGCTTTCACTAGTGTTGCAGTGAAAATGAGGTGTTTTAGGAAGTTTGCGTGAATTTTTATGAGGCTTTGGAGAGAATACACCCAAGGACATCTTTGATAGCACAGGCTGTTGTGGAAAATAGAGTTAATTGCTGTGTATGTCAGCGTTGCATGAGGCGTTTGTGCCTACCAGAGGTTTCAAACCCCTGGGACACTTCTGTTAGTCCGTCAGGCATCTCAGGAGGGAAGTGGGGGCCAGTGGAACAGCTGAACTGGCCAGCTCCTGTGTCAAGGGGAGCTCCAGCTGCAGGGCCAGCAACATCTGGATGTGAGCAGGGCTGGGGATGGAGCCGGCAGCGCTCCCGGAGCGAAGGGCTGGGTTAGTGTCACACGGATGGGGTGAAATGGGTGGCAGGGCGGCAATTCAGTGACGAAATACTGGCTTTGGGGTATGTGTGCTGCCTGTCCCTGAGCCCTGCTGGCCACCCTTCCAGCCCTGGTGCCAGCAGGGGTGCTCAGTGAGGAGTCCCCAGCACCCCAGCTCCCAGCTCCCGGGGGCTGCCCACGCCAGGATCCAGAAGCGGTGACGTCTCCCCAGTGAGCAGAAACGTGCAGGAGGACAAGAAAGCGCCTTCAGCCCCAAGTGTCCTTCCTGTGCTCTGCAAATCCCGGGCAGCTGGAGCGACCCAGGTAAGTCCTTCCCTAAAACACTGCAGGGTTTAGGAAGGGAGAGGCGAGAGGAGGTTGTGTGTGCGTGAGCTGGACTCAGGCTGGCACAGCAGAGCTCGCCTGTGTGTGTGTGCACATCATCACACGTGCTTCCCGTGCTCAACACCCAGCCAGCCCCAGATCAGGACTCCAGACTGGGAAGGTTTGTTCCCAACCTCACAGCTCCATCTTTCCTTCTCATCACAAAGCCAGACACATCTTCTCCCCCTCCTTCACCCGAGGAGATGAGAATTCCTCCAGTGGGAGAAGCTCTCTGTGCCGTTGCAGGGATAAAACCACCAAGAGGTCAGCCGACCACAAATGAAATGCAGAGAGGATCCAAGCTGTCCTCACAGAAGCCATCTGCTTTTCCAGACTGCTGGAGGTGGTTGACACTTGAGTCATTCCACCCCTGAGCCAGCAGCCCCCGTTTCTGTAGGAGCTGGGTGCACTGGGTGCTGCGGGTGTGCAGCACTGCTGCCCTACCGAGGAGCACTCCTCAGTGCCTGCAGGGCAGAACAGAGCTGAGGGGGTCCCAGCACCTGAGAACGTCTCCTCGGGCTCCAGAGTCAATCCTCGGGCATGGCTGGGTGTGAGGAAGGCTGGGCCAGGCAGGGGGGACACTTGTACTGCTGCTCACAGCCCCCAGGGAGGTCCACAAACCAGAGAGAACCCTCCTGGAACAGTTAAATACCAATTGGAGGGGCCTGCAGATTTTCCTTGTGTAATCCCATGGAAGTGCTGTCTGTGGAAGGAAGGAAGAAGAAAAGCCCCTCTCTCTAGAGAAGATGGTATTTGATATTTATTCATTACAGAAGTCTGTCCCTGCAGCAGACCAGGGCTCCACCCTGGAGTGCTCCTGCCACCAGCCCAGCCTGCTGAGCAGCTCCGGGTCCCTCAGCCCAGGCAGGCCATCGTTCCCTCCCTACAAAAGGACACAGAGAAACCACCTTTTCTGCCCAAAATTATCAACAGAGCGGGGGCTCACATTGCCTGTTCCTGGGCCACATCCATCTCATCCTGCCGTCTGCTCCCAGAGCTGTGCCCGGCACTGGTGCATGCCAGCGCAGCGGGACAGGCCTGTGTGGGCACAGAGACGTGTCTGGCAGGCAGTGGCACCCGCAGAGAGCCGTGTGGCAGCCTGTGTGTCACCCCTCCGTGCTCAGACAGCTGTGCTGTCCCTCGGCCCCTGATGGATAAACAAACAGGGAACCAAATGTCAGCCCGGGAGCTGCTGAGCAACACGCTGAAATATTTAACCAGGGAGGCACCGAGAGGGCAGCCGAGCAGCAGGAGCCTTGCTGTCTCTCTCTGGCTGTGACTCCTGTGTCTCCAGAGGCACCAGCTGATGTCTCACACCCAACAAACCCGCCTCGTTAAAACCCAGGCATGGGCAGAGCTGTTTGCCATCATCTCCGCACGGGGCAAGGGCTCTGTTCCCGCAGCAGGTACTTTGTCGCTCCAAATTGCACCCCTGGAACACGGGAGCTGTCAGTAAATGCTCAGCTGTTCCCTCCTCTGTCTGCCGCTCTGAGCCGCTCCCCCAGGAGCGATGTGTGTGGGTTTTCAAGCAAGGCAAGCACCCTGGTTCAGAGCCAGCACGGTGGCCCCCTTTGGCCACTCGGACCGTAACCCACAGCACCAATGTGATGGATGGCGAATATGGTGTTTATTGCAGGGGAATTTAACATTTTATAACCTAGGGTCATTGTGTTACTGCCATCTGTTTTTGTCACCGTTAGGTGCTATTGGCTAATTGGAGATATCTGTCTGTATATCCTAAATACTATCCTAACGGAGAGGGGGGGTTTACTAACTTCCCGTTACATCCCGCTATCTTCTGAACCGCCAGACCTTAAACTACAAGAGATGTGGTCTCTCTGTGCTGCTGGATCCCCACAGGAGCAGGGCTGTGCTCACACTCAGCTGCTGCTGCTCCAGGTCCGCTCAGGAGCCGGGCAGAGCTGCTCTGGGCCCCCCGAGCTCGGTGTGCCTCCTCAGTCTCAGCCCCAAAACGGGCATGGCGCTGGAAAAGTGCTTTGAGGGACTGACTGATGGAAACAGCCAGGGGTGGCCTGGTTTTGTTTTCCAACTGTGAAGCTTTTACAGAGCCATGGAGCGGTTTGGGTTGGAAGGTAGCTATAAAGGCAGCCTAGCCCAGGGCACCGAACGGAGTGTCAGCCTGCAGGGAGCCCTGCACTGAACACTGAGCACAGAGCACAATCCTGCACTGAACACTGAGCACAGAGCACAATCCTGCACTGAACACTGAGCACTGAGCACAATCCTGCACTGAACACTGAGCACAGAGCACAATCCTGCACTGAACACAGAGCACAATCCTGCACTGAACATGGAGCACAGAGCACAATCCTGCACTGAGCACAGAGCACTGAGCACAGAGCACAATCCTGCACAGAGCACTGAGCACAATCCTGCACTGAACATGGAGCACAGAGCACAATCCTGCACTGAACACTGAGCACAGAGCACAATCCTGCACTGAGCACAGAGCACTGAGCACAGAGCACAATCCTGCACTGAACATGGAGCACAGAGCACAATCCTGCACTGAGCACTGAGCACAGAGCACAGAGCACAGAGCACTGAGCACACAGCACAATCCTGCCCTGAGCACAGAGCACAGAGCGCAATCCTGCACTGAACATGGAGCACAATCCTGCCCTGAGCACAATCCTGCCCTGCCCTGAGCCCCCATGTCCCGGCTGCTCCGGCTCCTCCACCGGCTGAGCTTCCCCGGGAGCCAGCGGGCTCTGGAGCATCAGCCCTCTGGGGACAGGGAAGGGAGGAATCCCGAGAGGAAGGCCCGGGGGAGCGGAGCGGTGGATTCGGGGAGTGCCAGCCTGTTTCCAGCGCAAGTCTGGGCTGCAGAGCTGCAGACAGAGGTCTCCCTCGGGAGGATGCCAGGACTGG